TGTCTCCAAAAACGTGGTTTTCACACATGCAAAAAATACGTTTTGAACACACGATTTAAGCTAAAAAATCCGAACTTCAATTCAACAACTCATACCATTTTATCTTTCCCTCTCATCTTCTCAGACACAGATGCAAATCAACGAGCTACAGCGAAATATTTTTCAACGTCTACAGGGTTGCCATAGAACACGCAATTGCGCCAAACACCAGCACAGAACACATATCCCCACATTTGGTGAAATTAGAGCGTACAGTCAAAAGTCGTTAGTACGGACTCGTCGGGACTTCGGCGATTCCGGATTATCGATTTTTTCGGATTATAGATCATCAGTTTAAATCTGGTAAAATGGCATGCAGAAATTATAAAATTAAAAATATGAAACCGTAATTTATGAAATAAAGAACAATTATGATCTAAAGTGTTATATCAAAAATTTACAAAAAAAAAAGCTTAATTTATTTGTTTACTTTACTAAACATTTCTTTCAATGTAAGTTGTTTAAGTTGCTTCGTTTTTTATGTGATAATACATTCTCTTTAATTCTATAAACAGACATAATTTCTTCAGTTACAAAGTTCCGCTGTTCAAGTCCTATAATTGCTGTGTCGAGAATACCGACTAATTTGTCAATCGAAATTTTTTCTTTTCAATAACCTCTGTTACTTTCTTCGCTATCGGAAGCGAATTATAATGATGAGGCATTTGATTTAAATTATATCAAAGACGGAGTTACATTGAAATGAAATACTACATTTAGTAAGCAATTATAAGCCAAATAAAATAAAAACATCTGCCCTGAAGATAAGGATAGTGCTGACAGATCAACTTCCAATTAATTGTGCGTGCCACGGCGTTAAAAGTTTAGGTTAAAAATTTAGATAAACAAACATTAAAGTTTAGATAAACAAAGGATATGCCTTTATTCATTTTTTGCAGCAATTCCACTTTTTGTTTAATGGACTCCGAAACATTCTTTCGCTTTGTAGATTCATTACATATTAGTAAATATAAATCGGAAATTCTATTTGACATAATCGAAAGTTCAAGCTTACTTTTATAAAATTGCTCTAACAGTCTTCAAAAAATAATAAGCCGGATCCAATTCGAAGATTAAGGAACAACGCAATCTGCAACATTAACTGAAATAGATAATTAGAGCTTAGCTTATACCGTCCATTATACATTAAACGCGCATTCGTAAACGTATTTTGCGCACACGCAAATTCGCAGCCGTAAAGGTCTTACGCACATGCGTCACTGCGACGCATGCGCAGAAAGTTTGTAGCTTTGAGGTCCGGATTATAGATCATTCCGGATTATGGGTGTCCGAATTAACGACTTTTGACTGTATATCAAAATTCTACCTTTTTTTAATTAAAAAGTTTAAAACAACAAACAAAGTATACTGTTGTATATTTAACCTCAGAATTACATATATATTAATATTATACTTAAATGTAACACAGCTTTAGAATATACTTTTTAAAATTTAATATATAAATATATTTACTGAGAAAGTAAAATTGGGCATCTAATGTTTTAAATATTATTTAAGTGAAAAGAAAATTTTTCCTATTCTTTTCTTGTTTTTCTATATAATTGATATACAATGTTGAATATCAGAAGCTTATGTAAGTCTCAAGAACAATATTTGGAACATTTTAAGTTCAAAAAGTATTATTTATATAATTATCATATATATTTTGATTTAATGAAATTAAAATCTTCACGGTTTATTTTTTTGCATAAACTTCATGTTAATTTATACTATAAGCATATGCCAAAATATTCACATGCTCTCTATTGTGACATAAAAGAAATTTAAAATGGCATGTGTTTTTTCCTTTTTTGTCCCTTATGTCTAAAATAACAGAAAGATTACAAGAAAGAAAATTAGTAATTAAGTTTGTGAAAGAAGGGAAAAGTTACAGTGAAATCACAAAAAATTTACGTAGGAATATTGCTAAAATTCAAAATATTATAAAAGAAAAGTATGCATAGTTCTTGCAAAGAAACCTTGCAATGGATGTCCTCAAAAACTAAAGCTGAGATGCGAAAAAAAGACTTATTTTTAAAAAATAAAATAAAATACTCATATTTCAGCCGCAAAACTGAAAGCTGAGTTAGAAAAAGAATCTGGCACTTTAATTTCTAGCTCAACAATGAGGACATTAAATAAAAAAAGATTTTCACAGATAACTTGCTTGGGATAAATCCTGTATGTGTGCTCTCAATGTAAAGAAAAGACTATCTTTTGCAAACAAACAACAAATCGACTTCTAGAATTTTGGAATAAGGTTACATTCAGGGATGAGTTTAAATTTAATACTTTTGGACTTGATGTTAATTTTAAAATATGATGTAAGCCTGAAACAGCACTTCATAGAAAAAACTTACAAGCCACAGTAAAATATGGTAGTGGCAGTATACATGACTGAAGGTCTGGAAATCCACTTATGGAGTTAGCAGGAAAAATAGGTATTGTACTTAAAAGAAATCTGAGTACTCAGAAAATGGCACTGGGCGTTATTTATTTCCACATGATAAAAATCCAAAACGCACTGCTTTGGATACCATGCTGTGGCTTTTGTATAATGTGCACAGTCAATTAAATATGCTTCCTCAGTCATCAGACACAAATATTATAAAGCATGTATGAACACATTTGCAAAGAAATGAAATTTTTAATAGGATACAATTGAAAAAAGCTTTACTAGAGAACTGGCACAAAACTGCATCAGAATTCTGCCAAAACTTAGCTAAAAAAATTACAACAATCAAGCTAAAGGCTATCTGGCCAAATATTAATTATATTAAAATTTAAGAAACTATGTACACTTGTTTTAAATCTAGTGTATGAATATTTTTGATGCATTCAAATAATACAAAAACTCTTATTTGTTTTCATATTTCAAATGGAAACAAAAGGAACTAATTTTTTTGTTTATATTTTTCTACATTGCATACTTCCAGTCCATGAAAATAAGGCCGATCTTTACTGTATGGCACCTCTTGGTTTCTGTCTGAAAAAAATCGCCAAGTGGTATTGGCTGTTCGTGAAATTGGAAGCCTCTTGCGTGAAATAGATTTTCCAGTAACCCTAACATTGATAATATTGGCAAAACTAGCCTTGGGGGAAAATTTTGATTTTTTTTGGGGGGGGGGGTCGTTAAAAATGCATTATTTCTGCGAATATCACCAAACATATTGATAAATTTAGATTTTGGCTATTTTTTATTATAGTAACCCTTTCATGTAGACCCGAGTTTTGGGTTCTTACCATTCTTTTCAATTACTGTGTTTGGTTGCATGTGCGTGGTACAGTCTTGGATTTTGAACTTGCTGTTATTTTGCTGTGGGTACCATCATTTGAATATGTCTGAAGTGGGTAAGAGGATGAATATTGATTAACGGCGAATGAGCCGAAACAACGAAAAATTTAATTCAATTGCTTGCGTAGAGAATGGAGGAGTTGGTGGTGGGAAGCGTGAACATATGCACATGAAAAAAAGTATGTTAAAAAATTGCTATTTCATTTATTAATCTCTGTGTGTTAATTTTTGTTAAAAGATTTGTTGTTTAATGTTTTTATGATAGGAAATATGTATTTTTGGTTATTTATTATTTTCTGTTTGTGTATTTTTGGTTATTTGTTCGTCTGTGTGTTAAGACAGCGGAAAATTTTTTCTGGTTAATATGATAGTTTTCCGATTTTAATGAAATTGAATGATTTAAATAAAAATAGATCGATGTGTATATGGACAAAGTTAAGCCACTACACAATACCTAGTTTGTGCACTTCTCTGATGTTTTTTTAAGTTAAAATAAGTCGATGTGTACATGGACATCAAGTTTGTGTAAGTCTTTGACTTCTTGTTTTGGTTTTGTGTAGCAGCCAGAAGGATCGGCACCATCTTGAAATTGGCGTCAAAAAGAGACAATTCACCAAGGGGTACTGTAAATTTTAACCGAAAATAATATTAAATACTCAGCATATCATATTTCCTGTAAATAACTTTATTTTTTTTTACTACTGTATGAATACATTTGATACTGACTGTATATAATCATATAGTTCCATATTCAATCATGTTAATTACTTACAAGAGGGAAAATTTTTTTGGTAACTTCAATTTACAAATGATGCTTTCTGAAACTATACACAATTTAGCTGAAGCAGGATATAATTAGACTATATCAAGTCATCATTTAAATATTCACTTGTTGCAGTTATACCTCTAGAATAGCTGATATCTTAAATTTTTCATATATAAAAAATACATAATTCAATACGATTTAAATTACAATTTTTTTAAAAAAATTCCACTTAAAATTTTAGACAACTTATGAATTTCAGTATCATAATGTTTCAAGTTTCAGAAATTATATAAAGAGTGAAATTTACAAATCTCTGAATCCAAAGACTTTAATGTTTTTCTGAAACACACATGCAATTCTAACTGCGATGTAATTTAATTTGACAGATTCATATTTGATAAGTTAACAGGCATTTCCATACACCAGTTGAATAATAAGATGAGAATTACCAGAAGTAAAACGCAAGACTTTCCTTAGATTGTACAACGATGTTAAATGTAAACGATCATGGCAAAAATAGTTGCATATATGTGAAAACATTAGTGTTACCTAACATAACATATCTTACAATTGTTATTTTAAACATAGGAATAAAGCTCTTTAATGTACTTGCAGTAGTTACATAGCCAAAATTTTAACACGATAATTCTTACATTTTTATGATGTACTTTTTTTTTTAATTAATCAAACGTTTAGAAAACTCATTATATCGTATTGCATTGATTTGACAGTACTGAATTTTAAATTAAATAAAATAACATTTATTTACACATCGCAGACAAATAAAAATAAATTAATGTTCACAATAATTTTATAAATCAAAACATATGAGTGCAAGAAGAAAAAGGCACGGTATATATCAAATGGCATTCGAATGAATTATAAATAACGGTTTGGTACCTGATAATAAATAGCAAATATAGACTTTGAGCTTTTATGAACAAACTCACGCATACTTATTTGTTAAATACAAACTCAGTTATATATTAAACAGTTTAAAACTGCACTGAAAAGGCAATTCATCCCACTGAATGTCCATTGAGGGAATTAAGTTCATTCCATTGTAAAAGCAATTCAAACTTGGACACAACAATTACGACCAATCACTTTTAAGAACGTTTAAATCTCGTACTGATGCGCGGAATGAGACAACTTTTTTTTTTTTCAATATTCTCAAATTCATTGACGGTTAAAATCTAAATAAATGCTATTTTAAAGCACACTGTATAAAAGCAAAATAATTTAGCATTTTAGACCAGTGTTTCTCAAATTTTTTCAAGAAAGCGCCACTTTTATAATTTGAATATTCTGAGAACAACTCTACCCAATCAGCCAATGTTACTAAGCAGCGAGGTTGCCATGTCACTCCTTCAGCTCAAGCTTTCATTCTTTCCGGTCTCGCGTTTCACCTTATCCGAGTATTGTGTGCATGTACAATCTTTGAAGTAATTTCGTTTATCATGTGTTCAGGTTTACAAACATTAAATTTAATGAATCTTTTTATCATTTAACTTGCAAATTTTGAGTTTCAATTAGCAATAATATTGTTAATTTGTTAAAATGTTAATTTGTTTTTAAATAGATCATATCAACAGCCCATACTTATTAAAAAGTTCGTATTAAGCTTATTTTCTAAAAGACGGATGTAAATTAAGAGTATTATTGCGAGTGTACGGGTTCGAGACGGATTGAACGCATACAAAACCAATGATAGCTTGTCAGAATTTATTTTTACAAAAGAAACATCTTACAGTTCTAGAAATTACCACAAACGTACTGCTACAGCTCTTCTCAGCATGAAAAAGCAGAAACAAAACGCAATGCGAAGCACATCCAAAGAGCGAAGCTTTCATTAAGATCTCTACTCCGAAGTCCGCTCTGAACTAAAAAACAGAGCTAATGCTTTGTCCGGTTTTATACGGTTTTCCCCCGGCCACGAAGAAAACTCTAAAGCCTTTTAGTTCCCAAAAATAGTAGAAGACATCCGAATCAAAATATTGCAAAATGGTCGCTAAGTTTGGTAACGTTTGGTCAGTGGCGTAGCTAGGGTGGGGCAAGGGGGGACATCTGTCCTCGGGCGCAGCGTCCAAGGGGCGCCAAATTAATGCTACGAAATTATTTAATGAAACGTTTTATATTATTGGCACACAGAAAGGGGCGCAAATTCTTCAATTGTCCCCGGGCGCTGGAAACTCTAGCTACGCCCCTGCGTTTGATGACTTTTTATCAAATTTGGTGACAAAAATTAGTCGCCAAAACTATTACTAACTTGACGATATCTCGCAAATCTAGTCAGAGAGCTTTTTGCTTCGATGTTTGATAGACTTGATCCTGTTATCCTATTTTTCCGGCAGAGCTTTGTCTCACCAGACATAACATGTTATTATACAAACGATACTACACTTTGACGTATATTTTCATTAAAATTATTTACATATGTAATAAATTCGTTACATGGCACCTTTCCCAAGGGCTGCACGTTCCGGCGTCCAGCAGCACATTTCCTGGACGGGAAGGAATTCAATGCAACACTAAAACAAAAATTCTAATAAATAATTACAACAAATCAAATACTAAACCATTAAATAAATGCATGAATTTACAAATTTATACATCAATAGAACCACCACGGACTCAGTTTATTATTTAGATTGTATACACTAGGATGATTCACCGATCTGAACTACGAAGGCATACAGCCTGTTTAGGACTACAATCGGACCGTCTCCGGGGGGAGCTTGTAATTTATAGGAAAGTCCTTTCCTTGGAGTCGGAATACAGTCGGTCACAAAAGTATTCGAACACCGGTACCCTATCAGAAAATGACAAGATGGCGTTTTTTTTCTCTTTCTCTCTGTGTGTCGTGTTATACCATCCTAGGCTTTCTTCTCCCCCCCCCCAATCTTGGAAAAAACTGGAAAAAAATTGGTTACGATCTCTTTTTGAATGGGGAGATGCCATTTTGAGAAAAAAGCTGACGAACCCTATCTTGGAGAATGAACATGACCGCTCTACACACCCTTTTACTCTCTCTCTCTTTTGAATTGGGAAGCCATTTGGGAAAAGCAGACGACCCCTATCTTGGAGAATGGAAATGAACGCCTCTCCCTCTCTCTTTGAAATGGGGAGCCATTTTGGGACCCTCTATTCTTGGGGAGGGAGAAAACTGAAGTCTGCATTTCGCTGTCTCTGAATGCGGGAAAAGCCCTTTTGGGAAAAGCGGACCTCTCTTCTGATCTTGGAGAACTGGAAATGAACGCTCTACACGATCTCTCTTTGAATTCAGAGGTATTTTGGACCTTCTAATGTTGGAAAAACTGAAATGGACGCTCTACACTTTTCTCTCTCTCTCTTTGAGATGAGTAGCCATTTTGGAGGATTCTCCCCCCCATCCTAACCTTGGAAAACTGAAATGAACCTCGACACCTTCTCTCTCTCTCTCTCTCTCTTTCTTCTTTCTCTGAAATGGGTTCCATTTGAAAACTCCTAACTTTGGAAAAACAGAAATGAATGCTACACCATCTCTCTTTGAAATGGGGGGTGTCATTTTGAGACCTCCCCTCCCCTAAACTTGAAAAAAAACGAAATGAACGCTCTACACTTCTCTCTTTGGACATGGGTAACCCTTTGGGGACCCCCTCCTCTTGGTAGAAAAAAAGAACTGAAGTGAAGGCTCTACACAATCTCTCTTGGAATGGGATCCATATTTCGGGAAACGTGGATCACCTCATGCTGGAAAATGAAGTGAACACCAAGATTGGACTCTATATAATATTTTTTTTTAATTGACATCATGACCCTCCTCCAATTGGTTATAAAAAATTGTTTTTTTTTGTTTTGGTTTTTATCCCATTTCCGATGTGATTTCAGAAATGCAATCCATACAGTTCAATTTCATTCGAGGTTAAATGATCTAAACAGTCTTTGACCCACCCATCCGTATGATTATTTTCTTTCTCCTTCCTGTTGCACCAAATTTTGTAAGTCATATAATCATTCCATACGGGAAGGGCTGGATCCTCACAAGGCTGTCTCGAAACACTTGGAGTCTCTTTGGGATGAGTGGAGGGATCTAGGATGTCTGGACCCGGCGCGATTCTACCTCCATGATTTCTGGACCCGTTGGAACTTGTTTACCCGGCTGAAATTCTGCCTCTACGATTTCTGGACCCGTTGGAACTTGTGAACCCGGCTGTGATTCTGCCTCCATGATTTCAGGACCCGTTGGAACTTGTGGACCGGGCTGTGACATTCTGCCTCCTACGATGTCAGGACTCGTTGAAGCTTGTGGACCCGTCTGACATTCTACCTCTACGAAGTCGCAACAGGTTGAGAAGAGCAGAAAAAGAAGAAGAGGATACCGGAAGAGGTTTCTGTCTGTGAGGAGTCCGAAAGAGGCTGCCTGTTTGAACATGTCGGGGAAGAAGAAGAAGAAGCTTCTGCGTTCTGGAAGTGGATCTTGGACGCCAGGTAGGTTCCTGGTAAGTGGACCGTCTTTTAACGAGGTAATTTTTTTCTTCCTCCTCATCTTCAATCGTGATGACTTCAATTTCATTCCGTTGCCGGGTCGATTTTGTTTCGGGCCATGACGGTTTGGTCCAGCTCCTCTTATCATCTAAGGAAGGGATGGGTAAAGGTGGCGGAGGGTTCTCTTCTTTTTCTTGAAACATCATCGGCGATTGGAAAGAAATCTCCTTTTTCAATTGTTTCCAAAGCGAGTACGAGCACCGATCGACGAGAAAGAGAGCCTCTTCTGGGGGTGGACGATGAAATATTGCGTTTCGGGGGAACGACATAGTTTTGAAAAGGTCTTAGAATATATTTCTTATATTTCATCCTGTCGCTGACTTTAAAACTTCTTTCTTCAGATTGGGGACGATGATTCGTAATAGGCGAGAGGAGCGGCTGTGGTTTGAACAATATGAACTTCGTCCTCAGCCGTCGTTCTCACTCCAAACGTAAAATATCGTTTCGTGAGAAAAATATTCTCCCACCGAAAACTCGTGCGCGGATCCGTATATCTCCGGTCTTTTTGAATGGGCCGTCTCAAAGCTCGATCCATTCCGGATTCCAAGAGAAGCGAGATTGCTTCTTTCGTTTGTTGCGATTCGAATAAATTTCTATATATATTTTGAACGAGCAGGTTGGAGGGTTCGACATCTTGGATTGAAAGAAACGATCTCTTGATGAGCTGGTAAATGCGGAAAAAATGTCGCACAATGACACGCCAAAAAGATTTTCAAGGTTGGAGATATGCTTCAGCGTCTTCAAATCCTCCCCGTTCGAAATCCGTTGAGTTGGAAAAACGTCTAATAGCGACATGGCTCCCAATGGAAAAGAAATGATCTCGCCCAGTACTCTCGCCTTTTTATATATAGACACACACAGACACACATAGAGGCTCTATGACGTCCGTTTTATTTGTTTTTTTTGTTTCTCTCTCTCTTCTTTCCAAGAAATCTTATCTCCATGACCTCTTTTTCTTTTCTTAAAAGATGAATGTGTGTGGGAATGAGGAAGTGAAAGTAATAATTTAATAAACAAAAAAATTATCCAACATGACCTTCTTTTTTTTTCAAAGTCCCCTTTCCAATCCAAGGACGTCCAGAGATATAAAGGAAGCAGGAGAGAGGAGGAGGAGGGAAGGGAAGGTCCACTCTCTTCTCTCTATAAATAAAAGGGGAGAGTTCCAAAGTCGTATTTTGGTCCCAAGTGGATCATGAGGAGGCATCCCCAGCTCACTACGTGTATTCCTTTCAAATATAAATATGTTGATCTTTCCTTTTATATCATCCAAGGAGTCGTTTACCTGAAGCCTCCGATTTTTCAAAATGTGCGGGTTTCATTACCGTGGGGAGTTATCAAAAGATGCGGGACGAATTTTTATCCGACGAAAACGTGTTGATGGCTCGTGACATTCCACCTTTGGATGCACAAATTTGTTAATGGAACGAGCCAAATATTTTTACACGTTCCACTTTCTAACCATCTCGCAAATGAATAGGATTATGGATCGTCTTTGAGAAGATAAAAGGGATTCTCGTTCATTTTAGTGAATGGTTGCACAAATGTCTGCACGAACCTCTCTGAATTCGAGAAGACTGGGAAGAATACCTTATTATATTCTTCTCTAGGACTCTCCTCCTTCGTCTCATCGTAAGGAGGCCACTACTTTTGAAAAAATTATAGAGCAAGAAAGAAATAGAATGGTGGAACAATTACCCCATCCCTTCTCCAAGAGCATCAG